GATAACATTTTATTTTATTGAAAATATGTGTCTAAATCAGTTGAGTTATGATAAAAAAAAAAAACCAAAATAATAATATTACATGCAAGAAAAAGGTCCCAAACAAAGTTGGGTGAGAAAGCCTAGAAATATCATCTAAAATAAAGTATGAGAAGTTTTTTAATTGATAGATTCATTTTTTAAAATCTTTCTAAATATAATATATATATATATATATATTTATATTTCTTTAGTGCTTTAACTATCATTAAATCAATGGTTAACTTAATCATTTATAAACTATAATTGTTTTTAGTTCAATTAGAATGAAGTGGATGACTAAATAAACTTATACACCAAGTCATGTTCGAATTAATTATGATTATAACAATAGATTAACTTTAATCAATAATTGTCAATCTGAATATAGCTTACCAACCCAAGTATAACTCAATTTATTAATATATATGAGGTCGTAGGTTTCAATCTCTACTAAAAAATCTGAATGTTTTGAATTTCTAACTAAGAATTATTAAACTCTAAAAAGTTAGGCTAATTTAGTTTCAAAATACTATAAAAATACGAAAAAAATCCACCTTCAAGTAGAAGAAATATAATTTTTAAAAACAAAGCAACTAATTAAACACTTACCTTAGTAAAAAAAAGAAAAAAATAGTGTGACAATAAATTTCATTTTGAGAAATATAAACATTGCTTTTACAAATTGACCGTGAGAAAATGATTGCCACCTGGCAAGCATTCATAGAAAATTTACCATACAAATGACAATGACAACAAAAGATTTAAAGGCATAATAATATAGCATTATTTATTTATTTATTTATTTCATTTTAGTGATATTATTAAGTAATGTTTTTAGTTGAAAATTTTTGTATACCTTAATTAAGCAAACCAAAAGCTTTAAAATATTAGACATGAAATTAAAAACTGGCTCAAACTCTGCCAATCATAAATTAACCATATGTTTAAGCTTAATTTTACTATCAAATAAACAAATTTAAAAAAAATAAAATCAAATAGATAAAACACATGCACTTTAGTAGGACTGGGCCAAAATTGTTATAACCAAATTACAAAATTAATCGCGATTATTAAATAAAATAAACTATATACTAAAAATAATATTAGGTCTTTGATTTTAATTCATAAAATGCAATTTTCAACTAGTTTTAGCATTATTCCGTTGTATAGTTTTGAAGAGTAATTGCCCTTAGCTACGCTAAGATTGGAAATTAATAATAAAAAATTAAATTAAATCGAGTAATTGATTCTTGCACGTTTTCCCTATTATTTGAGATAATATTGACTATATATAGCTGATGAATAATTAATCCGTCAAGTCTGCATAAAAAATTGTTTATTAGATAACATATCTAATAGAAATTTAATATAGGCATTTCTTTTTGTCTAATTTTATAACGAAAAAGATGCTAAGTATCTTGAAATCTCATATAGTAAGTTCGGTTTATGTTCTGAATTTTTAATTTGGATTTAAAGCTTTGTTAATAATTGTATAATTAATTTTCATCAAATTACAATAACTAATAATTTTTTTTAGAGATTAATTCAAATGAGAACCTTTTGAATTTTATTTGAATAGTTTTCAATAGGATGGATTTACCTAAATAGTATAAAATTAATGTTTATTTTGTATAAAGTTTGAAATTTTTATTTTCGAAGAAAAAAGGAAGTTTGAAATTTTATAAAAAAAAACATTATATTGTCATCAAACTAATTAATAGATACACCAGTTACTTCTGTTATTGTCAATTAATTTCGAAATAGAATCCTTGATACACAGTAAACTTAAATGTAATATAAAACGGATTAGAAAAATCAAATTTATGCTATATTTAAAAAATAATAAAAATTGTAATAAATACATATCAAATTTATGTCATATAATATAATTTCTCTTAAAAAATAGCATAGTTAAAATCAGACTTACTCAAATTTATGTCAGATTTTTATATTTACTAATAAGAACTATTGATAACATTTAGCCAAATTACTAAAATTTTAAAACAAAAAAATTATTAAAATTTTTTTTTGAAACAAAAAAAATTATTTAATTGATAACGTTAAAATAAAAATTAGTGTGTGACATATGATATATCATCTTTGTCTATTTTGAATAAAAAAAATGATATTTATCTATTTTCTAGTTAAAAAGTGAACCTTGAAATAGATACGATTGTGGGAATATTAACCACCATTCATTGACCTAGGACCAAACATTCATTAAAATTTAACCTTTTTTTTTAAATATGGATAATATTAGATTACTTTTTTTTTTGTTCTAACTCAATGCTATAGGATTTAAACCTCAATTTTTTATTGATAATATCAGTTGAACTATACTCAAGTTTACAATAAATTATATTTTTACAAACATATGTGTGATAAGTTGACAACTTTTTAACATTTTTATGTCTAAATAGACCGTTTTGTATGTCAGGCTGCTTAGACATTTTCCCCTTTTTGTCACTTGAAAAGTTTGGGTTGTCATGAGAGTGACCAAAAAATTTATACTCCTAAGTGTCCTAAAAAAAGCTATCTAATTACTTATAAATTATCGATTAAAAGATTTTTATGTGGTTCTTTTTTAACAATTACAAGGTGAGAATTCGAACATTCGTCCTATAAAAAAATATCAGAACCTTAATTATTGAATTATGCTCTATGCTCTTGCTGACAGATTATTAAGTGATTGGTTGTTCGTACTCTAGTATATAAACTAGATTAATTATTTATTAATAATTGCATACCACGTATGTGTCATAAAGATGTCACATACGTCTTCATCTCTAAGCTCTAAGTTACATGCACACATAAATCTAGCACTGATGTGGTGCTCTATTGAGTGCATTTCGATGCTTAAACTAGAATTCAAGGTTGGAGCAAACAGATATGAAACAAGTAGAGTAGAGGAACAATGATCTCGAGAAGAGAGTCTGCTTGAGAGTGTGTGTCAAATTCTCACGAGGAGTTGTGGGAAAAACAACTAACATGGATTGAGGTTTCTCTTATCCTTGTATATGGACATGGAGGGAGAGAAAAGTGTTGAAAGAGTGTGTGGCATACACAGAGGGTGGCATGCTGTGCCAAGGGGTCATAGAGACCACCGACATTCTCCTTTCATTTGTATGCTGTAGATGAGTGTGGTGACATCCTAGGCGATTTTGTGGAGCATATCATAATTTGGATACAGCACAATGTGTCATCACTCTGCCTGCCGGTTATCTCTTGTATGATTCATCAAGGAGTGCTCGACCCCTCAAACTGGTGTACTCAATCTTCGTTTGGTTCCTATTGACTCAGTCCACGTGGCTCGACTGGATGAGCCACTAGATCTTAAATGCATCTCGCCTTATGTTTATGGATAAAAAGTTCCTTTTTAGTATTTAATTTAAGAGTAGGTTTGAGAGATTTTTATATCCATTTGAGTTGAAGAAGAGAGTAAGTTATAATGATTAATTTTTATATCGAATTTCTAAATCTAAAAGTTTTTATATAAAGTGGCATGAAAATTTCTCAATTCCACTTGATCTTGCATAATATACGACCAATTTATTAAGGCTTCAGGTAAGCGCAATAGTAACACAATTAGATATTTTAGACACCTAATTACATAAATGACATAAATATCTAAAAACTCTAATATTTACAAATTTGTCTAAATAGATGCTAGTTTAGGACAAGAAATTTTAAAATTACAAAACTATCTATATTCTAATAAATAAATAAAATCCTAATCGTCAATCCTACTCACTAGAGACAATTTGTCTTTTTAATAAAGAAATAAAAATCCTAAACTTTAGACTCTAAACTTTAAACCCTAAAAAAAATAATATACGCATGAAAAATTTAAAGAACTACTAGAAAATTAGACAATAATAAGTATATTGATTAGTACTTATATTTGCCTAATTATTTATTAAAATATTATCATCTAATCAGTGTTGTAAATAGTTACATTAAGTATAATTATTTATTAAAATATTATCATTTAATCGTAAATATTTAAATTAAGTGATTATCAATTCTTAATAGGAAAAAAAATTATAAATTTAATCCACCATCTGAACTTTAAAAAAGGTTAAATAAATTTTTAAACTTTAAATTTTATGTTCTTTTTTTTTATACAACATGTGGGGATGTAGATTCGGACTCATGACCTCTTGGTCAGAGATAGGTATCTTAACCACTTGAGCTATGCTCGGTTTGGCTTAATTTTTATGTTCTTTAAAAAGTGTCTAATATATTATTTAACTTTCAATTTCATCTTTAATAAATTCTTGATTTATTTAGTCATCTTTTATCGATATTATCTATTAGAAATAAAATTAAAACTTGTACTTTATTGAATCCATTTTTAATTTTAATTTTGTGTCTAATAGATCGATAAATATTAAAAACGTGACGTATGTTAAGGACTGTTATATACAAAATTTAAAATTAAATAACCATTAATCACAAAATTTAAAATTTAAAAGAATATTACACTTTTTAATGATCATAAACCTATTATACTTATAAACTTATAACATTTTTTAAATTTTAAAATTTTATTAGATACAAATTTAAAAGTTCATTAAATAACAAAATTATAGATTTAATCCCAAAATTTTAAGGTTATAAATGGTTATAAATATTTAAAGAAGTCATTCAACTTTGGAATATCAAATTAAAGATGAAAGAACTGTTATTAAAATATTTAAAATACATTATCTACCAAAATGTTGAGATGGCGGAGTTGTTCTAAGAACCTAGATTTCGGTTCTGGTCCGAAAGGGCGTGGGTTCAAATTGCACTCTCAACATTATATTTCATTTTCATCATTCACTAAAATTGGCCAGCATGTATAAAAAAAAAATTTGTTTTTCAAAAAAATTTAAATTTATGAGTGCCTGTGGTGGACAAATGACGTGGCGAAATCACAGCGAACTTGATCCCCTGCGAAGAAAACGTCCATCGAAGATAATCCATACCGAATCATTTCCGCCACTGCTACAGCTCAAGCTGAAGCATCGAATAACGATGCCTCTGGACTACCGAGAACCTCTGTAAATTTCCCGTTCTACCCCTTCGAACGGGATGGCAATTTCCCATTTATCATCTCACTCGCCTCTTCGTCTTCTACGCTTCTCTCTCACCGCCACAAAGCTCGCTCCTCAACTACGTTCTCACAGAACCCGCTTCTTCTCCATCCGTGCTGCCATGGCGTCTCCTCCTGCTCGCAAGGTTCTGTTATGGAGTCTCCACCCGTCCTGTGAACTGGCCATTGGTCTTTTGTGTTGTTTGATTTTGACGATTTGTTTCGGTTTGCTAACTCTGTGGTTGCAAACTGTGTGTAGGTTTTGGTTCCGGTTGCGAATGGCACCGAGCCGCTCGAGGCAGTCATCACCGTTGACGTGCTTCGACGTGCTGGAGCTGATGTTACCGTCGCTTCCGTGGAGAATCATCTTCGTGTCGATGCAGCGCATCAGATCAAGATTGTTGCTGATTCTCTCATTTCGGATTGCGCGGACACCGTTTTCGATCTTATCGCACTTCCTGTACTAATTTTTCTCCCTCTGTTTGTGTTTTTCCTTTTTAAATTATATGCTGTATGTTTGGCTGTGTATTGTATTTTTTATCTTTTGACATTTAGTCTGGAGAAGTGCGTTAATTTTTTTAAGATGATCCGTGAGGAGGGTTTCTGTTTTCCACAAAGTTCGATTCAGTTCGTTTCCGATCTCCCAGTGATGGGCTCTGATAGCATTCGTTTACACTTTCATAGGACTCTAGCCTTCTTCACCAAAAAACTTCCAGAGAAACCGAGGGGAATCCCTTTACTGAGCGAGCGACTAAAGACTCCTTTAAGACGAAAGACTAAGAGCTTCCACCCAAGTTATCTAGATAATGGACAGGTATAGCCATATAGAGAAGGTTATTTTTAGTTTCTACGACTCTAGTGTTGTTCATATATATATATATATATTGAATCGGTAGTGTAGTTCATAATGAGATTGATTGACTCGGTGGTGTAGTTCAAGCAAACGTAAAAATATCTTCATCTATTTAGGATATTTGTTCTCCTAAGTTTCCGAGCATAGCTGAACGGTCCTGCCACCCTCCAATTTCTTCCTTCGTGATATCCCTTCAATTACAACACCAGAAACTAGAGAATACTGTCTTACAGATGAGTTTTTAGTACCTACCAGAGCATAATGCCCTGGGAAAGCATTTGGGAGAGAAGAATCTTTGATTCAAGTCTGCAATATGAATGTATGGGCTATGGCCATTTTTTTTCTTGACAAAAGAGTGCATGGTCTATGGCTGCAAGTTTCCAACTCTTCTTGGTAGCCCCCCGAAATCTTGTGTGCTATACTTTCTTGTTTCTCGTAGTCACGTTCCCTGTACCTAAGTCACCAGACCAGTTCTTCGAGTAGGAGGGATTTTGTTTTCAAGTTAATGAGGTGACAACTGAAATCCTCTTTTTTTTCTCCACCCTTCCGAATGGAAAATCCCTTGTAGCTTTGTTGAGATTGTTATTCATACTTAAGGATTTCTGAAAATTAACAGGAAATATGTTGGCATGCTTGCAAAGTGCCAAGGACAGGGACTAAAGTGAATCTTCATCCATTAGAAATGAGAACTTTGCTTGATGTCATTTAATTTTTTAGAACAGGTGCCAAGAAAGTTTACAGCCATCCATTTGCTTTTTATGTGCAGAAAATGAAGAAAGTTTAAATCATGTCTTCTTTTTCTGCCCATCTGCTGCTGTTTGTTGGAATCTTTTTCTCCGGATGTTCCAATCAGTATGGGTGTGGGATCGTGTGGCTGCTAATAATATTTTTCAGATTCTACATGGTGTTGGGTTGGCACCTAAAGCTAATCTACTTTGGATTAATGGATTTAAGGCTATTATCTCAGAATTATGGTTTGAGAGAAATAAAAGGATTTTTGAAGATTCTTGTCGCCCGCCATTGGAATGCTTCAACATTGCCAAATTCAAAGCTTCTCAATGGTGTGCTCTTTCCGATTTGTTCTCTTCGTATCCCCTAGTATGATTTGTATGAATTGGGAGGCCTTTATTTCTCCTTTGTAGTCTTGTCTTATGTTTTATTTTCTATTTCTTGCTTTCTCTATCACTCCTTCGGGAGTTTGTATCTTTGAACAATTTTGTTCCTTTTCATATATCAATGAAAAGTTCGTATCTTGTTCAAAAAAAAAAAGAAAAACAGGTGCCAAGAACAACCTGCTTCTTCGGACCTTCGGTTATCCCCAAGTGGAAGGCCAGATAGTCCAAACATCTAGCTCATAAGAAAATTGATTGGCACCTTCCGTCTTCTAGTAGCATCATTAGTTAGTTTCAAATTAGCTAAATTTGCTCTCCTTCAATCCTGACTGATTTAAAGAGACAAGGGCATGGGAAAAAGATTGGAGCAAGCTTATATTTATAAGCTTATGTTGCTCCCATGTTTTTTCATGGAGGTATTACTTTTATGGCATTACTTCTATGTTCCATACATGTTTTTGTATTTGGTTGGAAAGGAATCTCGTTCTTTTGAGGATAAGACTAAGTCTTGAGATTCTTTTTGTAATAGTGATTTTGATAGCCTTTTTGTGGTCTCATAGGAATACGAAATTCTCTTGTAATTACAGTCTCTCTTTGATATCTCGGTTAGCTTTATTGGGAAGGGCCCCCTTGCCCCTGTCCTTAGGCTGTTCTTTTGTCTCTTTTTTAATGAATCGTTTCTTATCGAAAAAAAGAAAAAAGAAACTTCTATGTTCCATATCTTTTCTTTATCAACTGCCCAAGTTGCTATTGGGTAACGGTAAAGTTATTTTGTTTAGCGGTTAGTTTTAGTTTTAGGAAACTTATCAGCTTGAGCTTACTTAATACATATAGTATGGACTGGGCTCTTCCAATTGAGTAAGCTGCCTTCAAGACAGTATAGAGCTTCGCCATATTTTGTCAGATTGTTGTAGTTTTTGATGCTCATATGTCCAGATCGGTGTTCCTGTCCTTTTTCAGTATGGACAATGTAACAATTTGTTGTCTCATTCTTGGCACGGTTCTAAACTGTATTAAGAGAATATTTTAAAGTAAAGGACCTAAGGACGCCCTGAAGGGGCAGCCCCATTGGCAAGGGCATGGGGCCTCGTGGTATCACCTACGATGAGGTCTTGTGTTTAAACCTTTGAGTGAGCTTAATACCAAAAACCCTTGATGTCTCCCAGGTCTAGGCCTTGGGGTGGGTAGGTGCCCCAGTTATAGGGGTAAGAGGCTAAAGAGCTATCAATTCCAGGCTATAGAAAAAAAAATTTAAGAATATGTTGGTACTATGTAGCTTCCACTA